GGGCGGGAGGCCGCGGTGCCCCCCGCCCCGCCGCGCTGGAGGCTCGCCCCGGCCCCGCCGCCCGCCTGAGGCCGCCGAGAAACCGCCGAGCTCGCCTCGCCATGCGCCCCTGGTACGTACCCGTCGGTGCTCTCCCTCCTCCCGGCCCCGGGGACACCGACAGGCTGCGGGCGGCTCGGGGTGAGGGCGGTCGGGCCGGGCGCTCTGTCAGCGGGGCGAGCCCGGCTGGTGGGCGCCGACGGGCCGGCCCCGGGTCCCCGCGGACGGTCCCCGCAGGAGCCTGGGGCCGGCGGAACGGAGAGCCCGGGGGGCCGGGAAGTTTCCTGAAGGACCTGTTGGCGAGTGAGGAGCCGCGGGTTCGCGTCCCCCCTCGTGGTTTCCCCGCCGGGGCCAGTCCTGGCAGCGGGGGGCAGGGACAGTCTCCGGTGGCTCTTCCGTACCTGGCGGTTGGGGGAAATTCCCCGGGGATTTAACGCAGGAGGAAAGGTTAAGCGATAGCCTGGTTGATGGGCTCATAGAACCATTGAATCATCCGGCTTGGATCATTCTGTGCTTCTGTGATTATCAAGTCCAGCCATCTCTAACAATATTCCCTTTTGATTCTTCATAAAAGGCAGGCTTAACTCTGCCCAACAGTGCTTTGTTACTCTATGAAAACAGATAATATTTATTACTTGTGAAATAATTAATGTTTTTGTATCACATCACCTAGAGCTAACTTAGATTTCAGTAGTGTGAGGCTGTAAAAGTGTCTATGGTGTTGGAAAGGCTGATAAGGAGCTTTGGTGCTTTTGTGGTCTGTGCCCTGTGGAGCAAAATACGAGGCAAACCAGGTCTTCATCTCCCCGTTTCTCAGCGTTGCTGGCTTCTGGTCTCTCTTTGTTTCAGGCTGGTACCAGCCAGCACCGACGTGCGAGCGATGACATCGCCGGGCAGATGTGCTGGGTTTATCAGTGCCTGTCTTATTGATGCTGGTGGCTCTGGCTGAGTGTCCGCTGCCTGTGGGCATGTTTGAAACTGAAATTTCCCACGTGTGTCTTTGGAATCCACCAGACTGTGATATTAGGTATTTTGCCACTGAAAGTGGTGGAGGAGGAAATCACAAGGGTAATGGAAAAGGCCCTCGTGGTATCCCACTGCTGTTCAGCACTGAAAACTTTGCTGCTGTGGGTTTCACCTCAGCACTGTACCTCAGTAGTTACTTAGCAGCAGCTGGACTAAGTCACAGCAGATAAGATAAGACACTCCTTTTCTTTTGCAAGTGCCCCATGCTTTTTCATAATGTCAACTGAAACTCCACAAGAACATACCAATTACCAGTGGATGTTTTGTATTTCATATCTTCTATGTTTCCAGAACCCCGCTGCAGCCCACAGAGGCCATGGAGAAGAGGTTGGAAGCCAAGTTCAGCATTAGTGCCCGATTTCTGTCACGGTACTGCCCGGGAACACCTGGGAGGGAGCTGAGGAGTCTGCGGCTGTTCTACCTGTGCACTTGCCTGTGTGCCTTGTGCTCCTCAGCAGGTGATTCTTCTCTTCTCTCTGGGACTGTGTCTATAGCTTTTATGATATTTATCCCTTTCGCTTGTTTAAAATATCCCGAGGGGAAGGGGAAATGACTTGCTGCTAGCCACTGTAGCTGGTTTAAAAAAAGACAAACAAAACCCCACCCTTAAGAGTTACTAAATGAGCTGGGGGGGGAGAGATGTGGAGCGTGAGGGGGTCGCTTCTCCTAACACCATATGGCTCTGATAAACTGCTGTTTTGAGTCACCGAGTGATCAGCAGCAGGGGGTCTGTCTGTCTGTCCCACAGCTACTGTTGTGAGTTTCTGGCTTTCAGGTACTTGCCTGTATCTCATAGAGAGTTTTCTCTGAGCTGAGAATCTTTTTTTTCCCCTGCAAAATTAACAAGTGATACTCAGGAAAATAACTCCAGCTAAGGAATGCTTGAGGTGAGTTGGGATGGCAAGAACATCTTTTTAGCCCTCAAATGTTTTAAGTCTCCCCAGATGCAGTATGTCAATAGTCTGTATTTGCTTACAGGCAATTGTTATGTTTGGTTTTTTTATTTCCTGTTCAGACTTGAGTAACAAACCTCCCACTCAAGTAAATAACCAAGCTAGTGGCTTGTATGGAAGTTCTCACGTCATGGATTGTGTGGGGATTTTTTTATTTAAAAAGTGCTGATTATGACTTTTCAGAGAGAAGTGTTAAGTTCCTGCGAGTGTTTTGAGGTCATGTTTTCACCAGAAGGTTGTAATTTTCTGATGTGTGTGTAGCATTCACCAGATCTTAGTTTAGAAGGTTTTTTCAGTGCCTTTTTTTCCCCTCTTGGTTCAAGTTGCAGTGAATTACAGGTTTGAGGCAGTGGTGACTTCATTACGTGTCGATCCATGTGACAGCAGCCAGCTGCTTGCTTTCTGCTGGAAAGGTTGCTGTGTCTTAATGGGAGCAAGATTTGAAAAGGTGGTTGTTTTACTTTGTTTCTCAGTTTTGTGGACGTGTTCTCTAGGCTGCTGCAGCATCTCTGTTTCACCAGGTCTTCCTGGATGTTTACAGATTTGATTAAACTAATGAACTGTACGACCTCAATCAGCTAATTTAGAAGCTGCAAAGATGTATTTGTAATCCTGGCCTTAGCAAAGGGTTGTCAGCACTGCGTGTTTGGATGGCGTGTCAGGTGGATTGCATGTTTCCTTGTAGACTGGGCTTCCTGCATGGTGTTTCCTGGTTTTAGTCATGTTTTAGAAGTCCAGAGCTAGAACTGCTGATCCTGTGTTGCTCTTGGGAAGTGTTCTGGACTGTGCTGCAGTGTTTGAGGGCTGATCTACTTGGGAGAGTTAAAACCCTGAAGGCTGATGCGTGTGCAGAAATAAATATAATTACATGTGACGTAGTTGTCCTTACATGGACGCTTTTTCCACTGCGGAGTTTTTGGTCTTGTTTATATCACTTAGGCTGCAGAGTTTGTTAAACTGAAGAGGAATTATGGCTGCCTAGAAATTAGTGTGGTTGTGCGGAGTTACGCAAGAGGAACTGTGTTGACATAATTGGTTACATGTGACAGATTAAAAAAGTCTATGGAGTCAAGTCTTTAATCATTAATCTGATACCAGGAGGGATTAACTGCCTGAGCAAGTCCGTGAACCTGAGTTTATTAATAGAAACTGTTCTTGTCAGTTCCATTCCCCTGCTGCTCAGCAGAGCCCTGAGCTGCGTCGCTGGAACAGGAGCTCCTGAGTTCCTGGGAAGAGCAGTGTTTTTTTGTACTGATACACTAGAAAAGGGAAAAAAAAAAAAAAAGACAAAAACAATCCTAAGAAGTGACTGAGCACACCCGCTGTGCTGGCGTCTTGTGATCTGTGTTGTGCTGGGCTGGGTAGGCTTAGGAGGGAATTTGTCCTCAGGGACGTTCCTGCTGATGGGTTTCTTGTGCTTTTCTCTGAAGCTGCTGGCGTTGATGGTGTCAGTGATGGGATTTACTGCTGACCCACCCCACGAGTCCCTGTGTGTGGCTGCTGTGGGGCCAGCACAGGGACCTGGAAGGGACTGAAGAGGCTGCTCTGGCAGGAAGGAGGGGTTGGTAACGCTGCTGGTACTCACAGCTGCCTTCTCTCATTTCGTGCAGGGCCGTGTCCGCTCAGTGCAGGTGCTGCACCAGGGTCTGTGGAGGTTCCCCCTTTGCAAGGCTGCAAATGGCAGTGTGTGGCTTCTTGTCACAACGTTTGGCCCATCATATGTTCCTGCAGGACTCTCAGGGAGGAAGTGTTTTGGGCGGGTGGATTTTGCTGGCAAAAAATCTTTCATCTTTCCAGAGGTGAAATGCAAGTGTAGACTGGCTAATTTCAGATAAACATGTCCTAGGTGGGCATTAGCAGAGTTCTGGAAATGAAATCTGACCATGTATAGTGCAAATCTCTGCATCTTGGTTTAGCAGGGGGTTAAAAGAGAAGCAGAATGCTCTCAGCATGGTAGTGGTGTGTCATCTGGGCTAAGTCCTGGGCTCTGGCACACCTAGGAGGTGCTCATGGGGATTCAGGTTTTACATTTTAGATGAATAAATATAATAGTTGTGTATGTAGTGATTTTTCACAAGGGTTATCTTCCCTGCGCAATCTTTTCTTTTAAATATGCCCCATTCTTTTTGTGCTTAGTTTTAAGCCTGTTACTAGCAAGCTGCTGCTGAATTTCCCTGTATCATGAATTTCCCTGGGTTCTGCATCAAGCCTTAATTTGAGCGGTGTGTGTGAGCCAGGGCTGACGTCTGAGGAGCGATGGATGAGCAGTGGTTGAGGGGGAGAAGAGATTTTAGGGATGTGGGAAGCAGCACATTTCCTTTTTGCATGGGATCTATTAGGCACAGAGCTTCACCTTTAACAAAGTGATTTTTATTTATTTTTTTAATGCTAAACGGAGTCTTAATGGTTAAGATCCTCTTGAAATTCACAGCAATAGTGTTATTCTTCCATCGCTCTAAGTCTGGGAAGAGTGTGTGTGTACACACAGGCACCTTTTGTGTGTAAACCCCCACTCACCAGGAATCTCTTCCTGATTCCAGGCCCCCCAGGTGGGTGCTGCCCCTGCCTGTGTGCGGTGGTGTCGGGGTGACTGTCAGCCCGAGCGCTTTGGGGTGTAAGGTGGGTTGTTGCCCTGGGCAGGGAGTCTCCTTGCTCTCCGAGGAAGGGCCATGTGTTGATGAAGTGTGACAAGGACAGGGCTGATTTTAAAGGTGCTTTTGGCAAATTCTCTCTCTGTTGAACACACGCAAAGATTCATCTACATGTTGCAGTTGAACATTGCTCACTTGAAGAACTTCCCCTCCTCCTGTGCAGTTGTGGGTTCAGACACCCGCAGGGAGCTCTGCTCCCCCATCACTCTGCCACAGATCTCGAGTGTGTTCTGCTGCAGCTGATGTTGGATTTCTGGAGCCTTGTCTTCAGCCTGCCTTTGCTGAGCTGGCTTCACAGTAAGCTATAAATAACACTTTTGCTTCCTGCTTTCCAACGTCTCAGAAACAAACTTTTCACAACAGTGGTGTGAGTTCCCTTTTTGGGTTGGAATTCTCGGTGCAGCGGGAGATTCTGTCTTCCCTGCTTGCTCTCTTTGGTCAAACAAGGTTATCCAGGTCATACGAGGTTATAGGTTATAAAAGTGCTATGGCTTTCCCTTTCTCCTGCACGTGGGGGTGGTATTAGCTGTGAGTCAGAGGGTCAGAGTTCCTTGCCATCTTGGTAGTGTGAGGTAAGTGGCTTTGTGGCTGGGGTTTAAAGTCTTGAAGTCAAATGCTTCAAGAAGCCTCAAACACCTACATCTGCCAGGACTGTTCTGGTCTCACAGAGAGTTTTCCAGGATTGATGCTTCAGGAGGTTGAGGTTCTTGATCAGAAAGATACCTCCCCCTCGTCACGTCTGCCTGTGTCATGGTTGGCACTTGGAAAGCTCCTGCTGCCTGAGCCTTTCCTTAGTTCCCACTGTAGGGAACGTGGGTGTAATGCAACGTGAAGCTGTGTTCATTCAGCGTTACTGGAGTAGTAATGTGTCACTGAACTTCATGCACTGTCAAAAAAACAGGGATGAAGGTATTATAATTACAATTTAGACTTCTTTATTTTAATGAAGAAAAGCATTTCCCGTTTGTGTTGTGCTCAAGAACTCCATTCTTGACAGGCAGGGAGCCAGACTTGGAGCACAGTCTCCAGCTGCGCCACTTAGAGTCCAGCGATGTGGTTTGTAAAGTAATCTTCCAGTGACCCATTATCCCTTGGATGCTGAACACAGCACAGTATAACAGTCCCATAGGTCATTAGTCTATTTTTAGGGAGACCTTAATCTGCAGAGCTCTGAATTTTGGAAGCCTTTAATCCATTGATCCCTGCAAGTACTCCAATTTTTCATGCTAAGAAAAAGAAAGTCCATATGCAAAGCAGTTGCTGCTCTACCACTGGTCTGAGGTCTGAAGTAACTTGATTCTTAAAAAATACTTTTGACAGATAATTTCTGCTCTAGAAAGCACTACAGTGGAGCAGGTGGCAAGAACAGGCCTTGGAAAGATGTAAGGACTTCTCAGATGGAGCAGTTTCAGTCAAGTGATTTGACTTCAAACATCAGCGTGGAGGAGGAAGGCCTCCCTTTACACTATGACCCAAGCCAGTGTCCCTGTTTCCAGAGTGCCCCTTACAAGACAAACAGCAGGCAGAGAGGCAATGCTGTTTCCTGGTTACAATAAGAAACTGTACTCGGGATTCCTGGGTTTAATTTCTGCCCCTTACCTCGCTGTGTGACCTCAGGCTGTGCCTTATGGTCCTCTCGGGAACAGGGACGTTTCTGATTTCACTGCTGCTGTTGTAGATGGATTTCGCTTCATTGCTCTCAAAAAATGTGGTAGTCCCCTTGATTAGGAGGTTATTACCTAAAAACTTGTGCAAGTACTGGATACTGAGGGCAGGTATAGATTCAGAGGAGCCCCCAATTTACCATCCTGCACCCTCTCTCCCACATTACTCCTGTGCACTAAATTAATCATGACCATAACGATGAGGGTCTATTGTCCACTGCTTTAAAGGATTGAGAATTGTCTTTATTTGTCTTCCCTCCCCTTTCCCAGATGCAGACTGGAACAGATCTAAGTGCGAGCCGGGGAGGATCCTGTTTGGAGGCCGTTTGAGATGGTGGGAAGATCAGCATTTGCAGCTTCTGGAAGGATTTCACACCGTGCGCTCCTGTCAGAGCGCCTGCTGCCAGAGCCCCACCTGTGATGCATTTTGGCTCTTGGAAAATATGTGCATCCAGGTGAAGTGCACTACACCTGGCATGTGTCAGGCAAACAGGACTGGCTTTCCAGGCTCAGTTTTGGTGTTTTTAAAGAAATCACAAAGCACAGAGCACTTAGCGTTTCAAACGGAAGGTGATGTGAAGGCCTGGTTGGACTGGGACATCCCTCTCCAGGGGAAAAAAAGACTGCGGAGGTCATTCCAGCAGCAGAGCTCGGCAGGTAACAGGGTAGAACTCCTGCAAAGGGAGACAGCAGCCAGCCCCAGCAGCCAGGCTGCAGCTGGAGCATCGGATAGAAAATCCAGAAGCAGCCGAAGTGAAGCAGAGCGCTTGAAGGATCGAGTGCTGAGGCGCTTGGTGGCCGACAGGCCAGTTCCTGAAGGCCACCCAAGTCCAAAGGAAGACTCGCTGACAAATGGACAGGATCCAAGAGAGCAGAAAACCAAAAGCCCGTTCCCTCCTGAAAGCAATAATGTGACTAGATGGAGTGATGCAGACGCTGTTGTCTCGCCACAGGTGAGTGGGATTGATGGGGCTGGACTGGGGCTTTCCTGGGCAGCTGTCACTCTCCTGCTTGGTCTTGCTTTATGTAGGCTTTGACTTAAAACTGCTTCAGTGGTAGGGTACCTTCCTGGGTGCCTGTTCCCCACCTTGTCTCAGCAAGGCAAGACCAAGGGTTGGATATTTTATTTGTTTTTGGAGGGGGTAGTGTTTTTTTCCCCTGCTCTTTCTCGCTGGAGTAAGCTGTCTTTGGGAAGGTGAGGGAGATGGAGGTTGTGATAATGCTTATCCTTTGTACAATCATACAACGTACTTGCCAGGGGAGGAGGAAAGGTGAGATGGGATGTCAGTGGGAAGTGCCTGGGAGTTGAAAACTGCTACCTGTAAAAGTACTGGTTTAGATCCACAAAATAAAATAAGCTGTTTTCCTCTAGTGCTGAATTGAGGCAGTTAAATATGTTATTTTATAGACTCATGCATAGAGTTTCCAGTGTACTTCCAGGTCAGCCTCCTTGCTTGAGCTGGCATCTTAATGCCAACTTTTTTGTTCTGTTTTTAAGACTGCTTCAGTTTGTCAAATCCACAAAAGCTTATGTTGGCATCGGTTGAATGAAACCAGTTTAGTCTCTACTGCAAACGTGCAATGTTAATCTAGTAAATCTAGATGTTAGTCTTAAAGAGAAATGGGCACATTTCAATTGTTAAATGATGTTTGTATTTTTAAATCTGCAAATAGGTTTGGTTTTTTTTTTGAGCCTTAACATCCAGAAAAGCCCATGCACTTGTGATGGTGAAATAGAATTCTGCTTTGCGAAGCTGTTCTTTAAATACTTTTTCCATATTTCTAGGATTTGGCACTGCTGAAGCCTGATGCCTTCCCCTGTAGTCACATTCTAGGTCTGGCAACTTGACTGAATTTGTTTCTCTCCCTTGTCTTCAAATCTTGGTTCCAGGTAGGGCTGTGACTGGTCCGAGTCCCACCCAGCAGAGCAGGATGTGGAGAGCAGCCAAGGGACACGGCTGAGAGCTCCAGGGCAGCCCCGCTGCCGTGTGAAATCATGCACTGCAACTTTACAAATGTTTGATTTTCCAGACCCCACAGCATTTAGGGCTGACTTGAGGTCTCAGCTTTCTCTCTCCCCTGCAGTACTGCAGCATTTCCAACCTGCCTCCTCTTTCTTCCTCCTAATAGTTGAGATTTATGCGGTGACCCCGTTCTCGCAGTTGTTACGCATGCAGTGTCTGGGGAGATTTCTTCACAGCCAGTCTTAAATGTCTTCTGTTGTTCTTGGGTAATAGTTGTTCTATCTCCCTGCACGTTCAGTTTGAAGCGTTGCATTCTGAGTTGTATTATTATTCTTCAGTGCCTGTCCAATAAACTGGTTGCAAATATTAAATTACATGGATTAATCAGCTTCTGAGTATTGCTGAATATCTAGGATTTCCCATCTCTAGGAAGCACTCTTCATTGCCATTAAGGTGCACTGTTGAATATATGCTGGTGAAAGGTTTTTATTCTCCTTACTGATTTTTTGCTAGTAAGGAAGTCCAGATCTCTTGACAAAATGCAGGTTCATCAAAACAAACACTTCTTACTGAAGTATATTGGCTGTGATGGAATTCCTGGCAGTCACATTTTTGAGCATGGAGTTCTTGTGGAGGAGAAGGAATTAAGAAATCCACCTTAACAGGAGTATTGAATGGAAGCTGGTTCTACACAGCCCTGGGCTAATTCCTTGATTATTGAACCATCCCACTTTCACTGGCAAAATCTAAGTTGAGCTCTGCAGCTGTCCTTGCCTTCCTGATCTGAGAGCAGCTTAATTTAGGCCAAGGATATAACATTGGAGGCTGTGTACTTGGGCTGTGGCCAGACTTTGCAGGAGGGAGATGCTCAAGCAGGGAGTTTTCCGAGTTGGATTGATTTGGGCCAGAATATGTAAGGTTACGCACATAGTGAAATCAGTAGAATTTCACCTGGGCCAGATTTTGGTCCAGTACATGGAGCACGTGGCTTCAGCAGGCGAATGCTGAGCGTTTTAGACTGTATTCTTAAAAGCTTGGAAGGGGGGGAAAATATGGATCATCGCTGCATGCAAAGCAGTCCATACCTTGGGGCATCAAACATCTGAAGTGGGAAAGGACATCTGAGGTCAAAGGGGCTCTTGCCTCCTCTCTCAAAAGACCAAAATAAATTAATATGCATATTCTCCCCTTTTGTCGATGAGCATTGAACGTGTGGCGAGGAAGGTCTTCTCCTAGAGACTCAGGGAAAAGTCAAGTGACTGTTGTAGGCAAACATTGCCTCACTGAGTTTGAATTTTCCTCATGCAGTTCTCCCAGCTCCATGGCCATCTGCAGTGTCCTTTGCTGATGTGCAGCAAGCAGTAATTTGGGGTTTTACTGTATCCATGCTGTGGAACCAGGGATGGGTGAAGGAGAAGGTACCAGGATAAACCGCAATGCACCTGCTCATCAGCTCTTAGCTAAGGGAGAGAAAATTGTGTTTTTCCAGGAGTGAGTGACATTTTCCGGGCACCAGTTTTTTTTTGCCTCACCATAGAAGTACTTGTCAGTTTTAAAATATAGCAATGCATTTAATAGCCAGTTAGGAGGTGTATTTGGGCGCAGCGCTGCTGAGAAGGGCTGCTGCAGCACTGCAGCAGTTCTGCAGGGAGGCTGTGGAAAAAGCTGCAGCCTTTAAAGTGGAGTTGTTAAAACAGAGCTCATTACTCACAGTTCTGGCTACTCCTGGCCCCTCCGAGCCCAGTTTGACTCCTGCTTCGTGCTGGTGCTGGGTCATGTTTACACTGTGAGGAAGGAGGAAAGGCCTCTCTTCACAGCCAGCGCTAATTCTGTAATAGTTTGTGACATTACCCACATTTTTGTGTCTTAAGGGTCTTCACAGACATGGCAGCTGCTGCAAACAACTCAGGGCACAATCTCAGCTGGAAAGAGCTCATTTTTTAAATTCATACTAGGCTTAGCAAAGTGAGGCCCATTTAAATTCAAAAAGCAAAGAAAAATCCAGAAGACAGGTATTTTTCTTTCAAGTACCGTGGGTTTGGTGCAGATTCTGATGCACGTGGCTGCTCTGGCTCCATCAAACAGACACGGGACTCTCAGACAGGGAGACCAAGTCACTCAATCCCAGGCCAGAGGCAGTTAAGGGTTGGAATCCAAAGTGTCTGACGCTCCTGCGTTCACTCAGGTCAATGTGCCACTTCTCTATTTTCTAAACTAATAGGATAGGACAGCTGGCAAACTTCTAGTCTCCTCCTCATTTATCCTCAAGAATGAAATCTTCTGTTCTTTACTTGAAAGAATTCAGGGTTACGGAGTAAAGATAAGAAATGTCTCAGCTTGCAAGCATTAGAGGCATTTTTGACTGTTATGTTGCCCCAGGCAAAGCTTTATCCAACTCAAGCTCTCCACAGACATTTGGCTGTCAATTCATCCTGGAGACTTCTGGGAGGAAGAGATCTCTCTTAACTGTAAAGTTTGGGGTTTTTTAGGCATTAAAGAGGGAATCAAGGAAGCATGCAGCTCCCTGGAAATATTACCAAGCAAAGTGGAGGCTTGGCTGTGGTGCCTGGCGGCAGATGCTGGTCTCCTGTGTGTGACAACTGGTCTTGTCTTGTCACCCATGGGGGTTGATTCTTGCTCAGCAAAAAGTGCTTTTCCCCGTAGTGGTATGAAGTCATGGAGACCTTCTCCTCTGTCTTTCCTAAAGAGTCAGTCTCAAGTGTCCAGGTTCTGCCTGGCTGCTCCCCTCTTGTCGTGTCAGTATTTCTAACTTTATCTTTTTGGCAAAGGGAGGCAGTGTCTTGAGCTGACCAGAGCTCTGGGTGGGTGTAAGATGGTACTGCTGGGGACAGCTGGCTGTCCTGAGGCCACAGCACAGAGCAGTGTGCCAGACCTTTCCTGCATCTCCATTCCAAAGAATCCATAGTTTTGTCAAAGATAAAAGAAGTCCATTAACAAGCAGGCAGAGAAAAACTGCTTATGTCCGTAACACTAACAAATAGTGTTTGGTTCTGTGGTCTGTAAAGCTCAGACATTATAATCAAACATAGAAATGAATTGAGATGTTTTACATCCTGTGAGTGAAGGAAAGTCAGCTGAGATATGGGGAGAGGAAATGGTTTGCCCAAGACTGTAAAAAAAAAACACCTCCTTGCAGAGAAGCCATCAGTGCTGCTCCCAGCCTGGCCGGCGGTTGTAGGATGTGCAGGATGGCTTTATTTTTACAACTGGCACTTAATGTTTTCTGAGGCCCAGCCCATTTACTGGTGAGGATGTTGCCCACCAGAGTTTGGAGTGTTTACAGTTCCTGTTTCCTGGACTGAACACCAGCAGCACAGTATAAAAGCTTGAGAATATTTCCTCCAATGTGAGCTTTTGATCGGCTCCTCTAGTGGGGAGTCGTGGTGAGCAGTTCAGTTCCAAACCACTTCCCAAGTCAAAGATGGTAAATTGCTCCATTTGAAATATTTAGCAGATGTTCTCAAAATAGAGTTAGCGCCACAAAATGTGCTACACACATGGACTGCATAGAGGAAGGTGAATCGTCAAGAGTATTGCCTGGCAGGCTGAGAACTGGAATGGGGCTGGGTACTGTAAGAGGAATTTTCTGATGAAAGAAAGGAAATTGTTACTGCCAGGTTGCTTATTTTCAATAAAGTGGCTCATCCTGAGGATGTGAGCACAGGTTCTGCCCGCGAGCTGGGCTCCCTGCCCCAGCAGCCTCTCCTGTGGCGTGGGGAACGCTGTGTCGGGTCACCTTGCTTTGAAGAATGATTCTGAAGGAAATTTCCTCTTGCTGCAACGATTTGATTATTACATAAAAATGCCATTGCAATCCTCCTGCTTGGTGCTTGCCAACTGCACGGCTTTAGAACAAGGAATACGTGGCCAAAAAAAATGGCCCAAATGAACCCCAGTTCCTGGTCCCTGCTTTTTGCTTCTGTGTTGTCCCACCTCTCTGTTCTTTCAGCTCCACTCGCTGCAATTTTGAACCTAGACCTTGTCTCAGTTTTGCCACATCAGCAGCTTTAATACTTGAGATGGTGTAGTTAAATCTAAGGTCCTAAAGAGCGTTCAGCTGAGCTGGAGGTGGTGTATCTGCTGTGGAGGAAGAACATGGAGAAACATTGTGAAGAGAGAGAAGGAAGCAGTAAAACATCCTACCTCTGGGAAAAACAAACCAGGGACTTCTCAGCCTCCCTAACTAAAGGACATGAAGCCTGGCACAGTAAAACAAAACTGACATTCAGAATTCAAGCTAAGACAACTTTTTTTCTTCCCAGATCCACACAGGAACATCTGCACCTGCACCTTCAGTCTTGGCTACGTTCTCCAGCGCTTCGGCACAGGGCTTGGCCGCCACGGGGAAGACGGAGAAGCCTGGGCAGACGGATGATGCTTCACTCCATCCTCACTCCTCAGATGTGTTGCCCACAGGCAGCCCCGTGCCAGGGAAAAGCACAACGAAGACACCAACAGCTACTTCTGTGCCAAGTGGAGTTCCCACAAATGACAGTGTTCCTACAGTCCAGACCAACACTGCTGAGTCCCCAGGTACCACTGCCACCACGCCAGGTGAGGACCAGCTGCTCCAGCAAGTGCCATCTGCTCAGGTTTTGTTGACAAGTCGTTGCAGCGTTGGCCATAGTTTTGTAGTTTTTAAGAACGAGCTACGTGTTGATTTATTTGAAATAGAACGGCAAGAAAATGCTTAAGCAGGGATTGAAAAGAAAATATAAATAAAAGGAACAGGTTTGTATTTTGAGTTTCCATGCTCAGTGTGGTAGCTATGCAGTTGTTGTTGGTTTTGTTTTTTTTTTTTTTTTAAAAATCTTAGTCCCCAAGCAGTTTTTCAAAAAAGAAATACCGTGGATTCTTCATATATTTGTGAAGACCTGAAATTGCAGTTTGGTGAGTAGCAGTGTTTGTCTTGCTGTGCCACGAGGCTACAGGTGAAGATTCCCCCGTGCAGGGCCCGAGGGTTACATTTCAGCTCTTCAGAAAAAAGGAGCAGGAGCTGCAGAGTATCTGCAAAGAGAGAGGGATGACTGAGTAATTTTGGGCTTGTCTTAAAATTGTAAAACCCCATTAATGCTTTTGCATTAACAATGAGAGCGAAACCTGAAACGGCAGCTGTATTGAGTGACAGCGTGTTTACAAAATACAGCCATTTGTGGCTGGTTTTTATTCCCCAGGCTCTGAAGTCAAGGCTGGTTTTATGTACGTATCTAATGGGGTTTTTTTCCTGTTCCTCTTTCAATTCTATGCTTCTCCCTCTCAGTTATGAAGGAGCTGGTGGTTTCTGCTGGAGACAGCGTGGAAGTGACCCTGCCAAAGAATGAAGTTCAGCTGAATGCGTTTGTGCTTCCTGAACCACCTCCTCGTAAGGCTTCCCTGGGAGTTCTGCTGAGGGCTTAGGGTGGGGAAATGGCAAATAGGTGTTATGTACTGCATTAAATAAGGACACTCTTGACAACATCTTTTGTCAGAGAACACTTTCCTGTAGAAATCTTTCATCCTGTGTTATTGCCTCGTGCTGCCTCTCACAGAAAATATCAAAACTCAAAAATCATTGGAAATGCTACAGAGTCATTAGATTGGGGTGATGGCATGTTCTCAAAGTGGTATGTGAGGAAGCAGTGGAGCTTCAGCATCTATTTGTGATTTTTGCTGATAGGTGACAAGCTGTCTTAGCAAGTGGTCTCTTGTTTGGTGGATTGCAATCTGATGTGGGGGGTTGACACGCTGAGGAACACATTTCTATACGCTGCTCATTTCATCGTGCAAATTGTTCACAAGTATTTGTAAACTCCTTGCTTATGGCTCTGTCCACGATGGCAGCAGGAGAACGCAGGGAGAGGGATTGTGTTGGGTGTTGTGCAGCAGCAGGGGTGGCTGAGATGCATTCCTCTTCAAAAACTGGCATTATGGTGTGTCTGCAGGATTTGAGGGCACAATTTTTCTCTCTTATTATCCTGGAGCTGTGGTTGTTCCAAAGCTCTTTAGTGCCTTAGAGGCTGAAAGATGGGTTTTGGCTCTCGAGTAAATGTGTTTAGAAGCACAGATTGTCTCTTTTCCTGGGAATATTCCCAAAAAGCTGCAGCCCAAATTCCAAGCTGTCTCATTTCTCCATAGTGCAGTAGAATGTGCCTTGTAAATGTTTAATACCTTCGCTTTTATTTAGCGTGGCAGAAAGGCAGCCTTCTAAAAGCTAACGTCTGGACTTTTTTTTTTTTTTTAAGGAACCACTTACTCCTATGAGTGGGAATTGATTACTCATCCAAAAGACTACAGTGGAGAAATGGAAGGGAAGCACTCCCAGACCCTTAAGTTATCTAAGGTAAAGCTTTTGCTGCTTAGTATCCTGTTGTGTGAAATGCCAAGTGGAGAAGATAAGGACCCTGGCAGCCAGGAGAGACTCGTGTGTGATTTCAGGATGAATAGGAAATGGCGTGATGGGCAGGCAGCCAACGTCTGACTGCAAGCCCTCTTCTAAGTCTCTTATAAAAAAAGATTGATCTGGTGTGAGGGAAAGAAGAAATTGATTCCAGGATCTAAAAGCTGCCTACAAGCAGTGTGTCAAGCCGTACAAATGGCACAATTTAACATTAACAAAGGGGTTTGGATGTTTCTGCTACTGAAAGGTTCTGGTGGTCTGTTTAGGTCTGAAGCCTTGTACTTACCCGCTGGAAAAGGGACGTGCTGATTCTGTTACAGAGAGCTGTGGGCTGCCTCCTGGCAGGTCCCTGGCTGCTGCTTTCAGACAAGTTCTAACAGTGAAAGAATTGCTGGTTTCTGCACATGGGGATTCTTAACAAGGGAATAGCTTTAAATATGATGTGAATATACAGTTCTGTACTTGAGACATTCTTTTGAGCATCTTGGATTGTGCTGCGCTCGGAAAAAATCTACAGGCTCTAGTGACAATGTCAGGCAGAGAAAAGCCCTTTGAAAGGAGTGTCTCTTTCTCTCTCAGGGTTTCAGCCTTTTGGATACCATGATTGTTGTCCAGCACCTAGTCCTTCTCCCTTTCTTGGTTCAGCAGTGGAGGATGAAGGGGTGACTGCCTGAGTCATGTCACCTAGAAGGAAGAGAAGAAATTCTTTCCTTTGTCAAAACACACAAGAAGAGATTTTCTTCTCTTACATACAGCCTTTCTCATCTCAAAAGCAATCTGCTCGTACAGATTCCTCTGGCCAGACAAGCTGAACTAATCTCTCTTATCTCTTTTGTTTGCCTATTGTTGCTTGAAAATAAAGCTTGCCTGACAATCCTGTGGCAGGAAGAAATATTGGTCTTTGGTTTCTGCACAGCCATTGTAAACTAAAAGATACGTAATACCGTTTTGGCATGGAAACCATCCCTCGCTGGGTGTGCAGGGGTTGAGGCATAATTGCCTGTTTTATGCTGCTAATGTATTTCTGTGCCAAAGCATCGTAACTTGACCTTCTAATAGCTCCTGAACAAGGTGCTGCCATCCTGAAGGTAAATAATCTTTTGTGTTTCCTTCCAGCTTACTGTTGGTCTGTACGAATTCAAAGTCGTCGTTGACGGGGAGAACGCACACGGAGAGGGTTACGTGAATGTTACTGTGAATCCAAGTGAGTGGGTGGAATTGTGGCTTTCCTTAACTTCATCTCTCTCTCTCTCTGACACCTGTATCACGGTGTATTTTGTTTATTTGACTGGACCCTGGTTAAACGTAGTGAAAACTCGTCGTGCTGTGACCTCCTGATATATCTATGTGTATTACGTCGTTTCCCGAGATGGGAAACAACTGCTAATAGATGTAGCTGTTTCTGCTGTCCTGCAGATGGGCCAGCCACTCAACAGAAGAGCTAGATGCTGATACAAAAGTGCTTAGCAAATGCCTCACCCTGGAAAGCCACTGCTTCAATAAAAACTAGCTGTAACCAGGTAAAAAGCTTAGAGCGGCAGGAGCAAAAAATGAAGGGAAGCCAGAGCTTTGAAGCTCTTTTGGAGGTTCTTTTCTTCCCTGTCCAGTAAAGAATATCGCTCCCAACCACAGGCAGGTTAAGTCAAATCTCATTCCTTGCTGTAGGACATGGTTTGCAGATGAGCTGGTGTAGATACAGCAGCTTGTGCTGACTGTCCCACCAGCTCGCACTCTTAGACGGCCTGTGTAAAGAGAGAACCACAGCTTCTGCATCTCCTTTTATGCAAAAAAAAAGGCTATTTTGCACAGTGCAGCAAGACTTTTTCTACAACCTTTGTGGGCAAAAAAAAAGTGGTTTTGCACTCCCTAAATTAGTAAGAGTGTGTGGCTGGCCCTTTGGATGCCCTTACTGCTCATTTCCTTATAAGCAGTGAATCTGCAGCTGGCAGCGTGCAGCAAAATCATTCATTTTTCAGAGCTGCAGCCAAACTTTGGCAAGAAGCTCTAGGTGCTGCTCTGTTAGAATGGTCTGTGCTTGAATGCTTGCCCCAGTATGGGAGAACTGATGCAGTGCAGTGTTTCCAGAGCCACTGGTGTGGCAGTTCACCTCCTTGCTCTTTTAAATCCCTTTCCTTGGCACCGTTTCCCTGCTTCGGTGTATAACTTGCTGAAAGCAGGAATCGCTGCTGTTGATTGTGCAGTTCTCTGTGCTCAATCTGCTTGCTGGCTGTCCTGGAGCTGTGTGGCACAGCAGTTCCACACTTGGGGTTCCTCTCCTGGACTCACTGTGGGACTGAAGGGTTAGACAGGGCTGGGGAGAGGGAAGGGGATGTGCAATGTGTATTCTGCCTGCTGCTCCTGGTGCACAGAGTTTTTGCAGTTGGTTGGCCAGGGCTTTGTATCATCATCTGCCTGTAGATGTCATTGTAAGAGCTCTCTTGTTGTTGCAGAGCCTCGAGTGAACCAGCCCCCTGTTGCCATCGTGTCCCCACAGTTCCAGGAGATTTCACTGCCAACCATCTCGACGGTTATCGATGGCAGCCGTGAGTACCCGCTGTGTGAGAGGCAGGATTCTGGCAAACCTGCTCTCTGTGTGTTTGCTCCTGGGCTCACCCTTTGGGTTCAATTTAAGAGGAACTGGCTGGGACACCATCAAACACGCTTTGGTGAAAAGAATCAGTTTCTCTTGCCAGGAGAGGGGAATGCATGCACGACAGCACCTCTGTGTTTCCTTATGAAGGGCACTGGCCTGAGTCAGTCTCCTAAAAAAGGAAAAGCTTTAGAGGTTGCTGCTTAGAATAAAAAAAATTTACTATCAGTCAAAATTACTGGCCTCTTGAGTTGAGCTTCAAACGTATTAGTGAGCTGACACAGCACCTCTGCTCATCCTGGCCCTCACTAGGGCTTTTCAGGAATTTCTTGAAATATGTTCACGTTGTCTTACCCCCAACTAATATTATTTTGTTAATGTTTTGTTTGGGGTGGGGGGGACTGAGGGTGTTGGAGTAGGGGACTAAACATCGGGGTTTTGTGAAGCATCATGTTCCAATTCCTTGTTATGTGTATTTTCTTTTGGAACAGAAAGCACTGATGATGATAAAATTGTCAGCTATCACTGGGAAGAGCTGAAGGGCCCTTTGCGGGAGGAAAAGGTTTCCAGTGATACTGCCATATTGACACTGACCAACCTGGTACCTGGGAATTACACCTTCAGGTAGGTTGTACCTGGGAAGAGTTGATCAGTTCTCATCCTTTATGAGTAAAATTTATGAGATTCCTGAAGTGTTAGTGTGGTTTCAAAAAAACCACAAGCAAACACAACCAAACCAAAAAAACACGAACCCTCAAAACCAAACAAAAAAAAAAGAGGGAGAGAACTTATTTCGTGATGTTCCCTCTCCACTTTCAGGTGGTTTCAGAGCTTTTCAGTTCAGAAGAGATAAGCAACCCAGCTGCTTTTTATTCCTAAGTTGTAGCCCTGCTTTAAGATGATGGCAGAAGGGAATGTATGCTCTGCCAGAACTACAAAATGTCTCTTGAAATGTCAAATCTAAACTGTTTGGGTAAAGGCTTAGGAAGAAATGCAGTCTTACATCCAGTTTTTAAATGCAATGTGTTTGTCCCAGATAAGTGCATGAGCCCTAATGGTTTTCTGCACGTACCTGAGTAATAGATAGTAGCTGGTTTTACTTCAATATTTATTCTGTGGTTTTCCTTTTGTCTGCATTTTGGTGTGATGTCCGTGCACTACATCAGCAGATCTGTTTAAAATAAAATAAACCCAAGTACCTGAACACTGAATTGTGATGTCCGTGCACTACATCAGCAGATCTTTTAAAATAAAATAAACCCGAGTACCCGTAACTGAACACTGTTTTTTTCTGAAGCAGTTGGTATATGATCTGATCGATGTTCAGATCTAGATTTAGAAAAAGCAGTTTTTCCTACCCGAGGAAGCCTGTGTCAGACCACGTGTGGCTTAATAATGAACTGTGTCTGCGTTAACGAGCGTCTGTTATTGGGAGGCAGCGTCAGACTTTTCCATCACAGCTGAGTGTGTGAGAGCTGATGATCTTTCACGAGCAGGGTTTTGTCCTGGCAATCAGTAGATTTCAAGTGAGACAAATGTGACTGTTGAATTTCTTGCATCACTTTGAGGCTGATAATTGGGCATTTGGTAGAAGTTTCGATTTAGTTGGCAATCAGTAGATTTCAAGTGAGACAAACGTGACTGTTGAATTTCTTGCATCGCTTTGAGGCTGATAATTGGGCATTTGGCAGAAGTTTCTATTTAAAAAAAGCACAGTTGCCTCAAACCATAGGGGTTTTTCACTCCTTAAAAAAAAAATTGCTATCCTGTCCTTAAGTATCTTAAGTTTCTAACTCTTCTTTTGCATTTCAGTTAACTCCAGCCAGTGTTTTGTATTCAGTTCTGATAATCATGACTCTTCACTGCCTTCACTCCGTTTTTTTCCCTCCTCTCTCCAGTCTGACAGTGGTGGACTCGGATGGTGCCAGCAACTCCACCACTGCAAACCTGACTGTGAACAAAGCAGTGGATTATCCTCCCGTGGCAAACGCGGGCCCGAACCAGGTGATCACCCTGCCCCAGAACTCCATCACCCTCTACGGCAACCAGAGCACCGACGATCACAGCATCGTCAGCTACGAGTGGCTCCTCAGCCCCAACAGCAAAGGGAAGGTGATGGAGATGCAGGTCAGTGCACGTCTCCTGTGCTCATCCTGGGTTACTCACTAGCTGGCTTTTTTTTTTCCCCTCTATAACCAAACCATCTTTAACTGTTAGCAAATGGTTCTTATAATCCTACAGAACAAGCCCGTGATTATTAAATATATACTTAAAACTAAATCCACGTGAAGCTGATACTGGCTGAGTGGCTGAGCTGGTGCACCAGTCTAGCCAGAGGTTTTCACTGGTGTCCTGTTTCCTTTCTTGAGCAGTGCAGTTTTAAATAGTGCTCAAAAATGGGGATTGAGAGAGATGGGAACCTGATGGCTCTGGATTCTGATGTCCCATACAGCAGGTCTCAGCTCAATTTGACCACCCCTGTGTATCTCACTGTTCCATGTCATCATTTTTCTTTTGAAGATTATTACCACTTGGCTGAGCTGGTGCACCAGTCTAGCCAGAGGTTTTCACTGGTGTCCTGTTTCCTTTCTTGAGCAGTGCAGTTTTAAATAGTGCTCAAAAATGGGGATTGAGAGAGATGGGAACCTGATGGCTCTGGATTCTGATGTCCCATACAGCAGGTCTCAGCTCAATTTGACCACCCCTGTTTATCTCACTGTTCCGTGTCATCATTTTTCTTTTAAAGATTATTACTACGGTCCAAGTCTCGCTGGATGGCAGCACAGCCCTCTGGGGTTGTGTATCTTGATGTGTATGATTTGTACAGGGGTCCCCAGAGGTTTTGCTCGAGATGCTGTCTATTGAATCTCAAAAACCCTGAGCACCTGTATGGCATCAGCCTTGTTCTGTCATCATCTGTTTAAGGCTTCTTCTTAATACATGAATATGCTTTCTCAAAGGGGGTGAGGACACCGGTCCTACAGCTCTCTGCCATGCAAGAAGGTGATTACACGTACCAGCTGATAGTGACAGACTCTGCTGGGCACCAGTCCACCGCCGAGGTCACCGTGATAGTCCAGCCGGGTAAGCTGCCTGTACCTGCTTTTGCCACTTCAGTTCTGGGGGTTAGAGGTTGAGCATCAATCTGCCAGCAGACTCTGGAGCTTAAGGCAGCTTTGTGCTACTTTCAGAAAAACTGCTTTAATTTCAGACCGTTCTGGGCTGATAAACCAACAAAAGAAAGTTTCTAGAAATACTGCTTTTCTAGGCTGTTCTCTCCTTTTACACAGGGGGGTCTAACAGAGGTTGAGCATCAATCTGCCAGCAGACTCTGGAGCTTAAGGCAGCTTTGTGCTACTTTCAGAAAAACTGCTTTAATTTCAGACCGTTCTGGGCTGATAAACCAACAAAAGAAAGTGTCTAGAAATACTGCTTTTCTAGGTTGTTCTCCCCTTTTACACAGGGGGGTCTAATTGACGTTATCCCACCGGTTGTGTTTCTGAGCAGCTGCCTCTGCCCACAGGGCTTGGTCCTTGGGCAGGAGCAGGAAAAGTGGTGTAATGCTTAGAGAATGAGAGCAAAAATCACAACTCCTACATTTCATTCTCATTTTATTGCAGATGGGTGAATGAAACACTGACCTGAACTCTTAACTGCTTTTAACCTCACTTTCTCTGAGCACAGGGTTGAGATAATGGGCAAGAAATATCCAAGGGATCGTGGAGAAACTTCTATTCCTTGGGTTTTAATCTCTGCCTTTTATGGCATGTGTATGAAAAATACTGCAATCCTTTTTCAGAGAACAATAAACCCCCAAAAGCAGATGCTGGGCCAGATAAAGAATTAACTCTTCCTGTGGACAGCACCACTCTAGATGGCAGCAAGAGCTCAGATGACCAGAAGATAGTCTCCTTCCTCTGGGAGAAAACACGGTGCGTATCATCTTCCAGGCTGTTCTTAACCAAGTGTCTCAGTCTTTCATTGAAAACAGGACACATAATTCCCAGGTGTTAAATCCTGCTCACGTCGGGGCTGACAAGCTTTACCAGTGATTGAAATGAGATAAGGATTTATGTTTAATTGGGGAGAGGTGGAGTTTTAAGCATTAGAAATACCTTTGCCTTCATATGGGGCCTCATCCCCGTTCTCAGTGTGGCTGTGGGCTGTGAGGGAGACAGGCCACCTCCACGTCACAGGGCTGTAGTGTGGTCTTGGCAGTGTGAAGAGACTGACTCTTGTAACCAAATAACTGCTCTTCTCGTTGTCCTGCTTCCCTTCAGACTGTGATTCCCTGAAGTGCTTTAGGGAATTCAGGGAAAAAGCCTATAAACGACTTGCAGTTTTTTCTTTTTGCTAATGCAAAGTCTGTGCAAAGCTCTTTTAAATTAGGAACTATTTTTGCTCTCTACCTTTTCTTTAAAAAATTGCCCTGTTGTGCAATTCACAAGCCAATTTTGCTGAAAGTACCACTTCGTACACCCTACTTAAATGCTGGTATCAGTGCTCCCCTGGTTTAAAAATAACCAAAACACTAAACCCCCAGAAATTATGCTTTTTGTCCTGAGTGCTGCACTTACTCTTTCAATTACCTTACAGTAACAGGAGAAAATAATTTTGCTTTTTGTTGTGGGCTCAGTATTTCCAGACGACTGTCTGTTTGCATCCCCATAAGCTCTGCTTGAGCCTCCTGTTTGGTGTGAGGCTGGTTGCCATGGTCTGTGCAAAGCTTAAACTCCTCTTCTTGTGCTTTGCTCAGGGGCCCAGATGGTGTCAAGCTGGAGAATGCCAACAGCAGCATTGCCACTGTAACAGGCCTTCAGGTTGGGACATATGAGTTCACTCTGACAGTTAAAGATGAGAGGAACTTGCAGAGCCAGAGCTCCGTCAACGTCATCGTCAAAGAAGGTATGTCCAGCCATGACAGAGCTCCTGGAGACACAGGTTATCTCTGAGACTTGAGCAAATCCCGTGCTCAGAGGCACAAATAGAATAAAGAATGGGTGAAAAATAATGTGGAGAGCACTGAAATGGCCTTATTTGAATCAGGGGTTTACCCCTTTCTGGAGGAACAGTATCTTCAGCTGAATCCCACCGTGTGTTATTTCCCTTCCCTCAGAGTCAGATGGGGATTTCTGGGTTACAGTGGAAATCTGATGCACTAGGTTTTGATTGGCCTTTACCAGATTTTTCTCCAACTGCTCTCTTTCTGTTTGCTTAGAGATAAACAAGCCACCAATTGCAAAGATTGCTGGTAACGTTGTCATCACCTTGCCCACAAACACAGCCGAGCTGGATGGATCCAAGTCCTCTGATGATAAGGGAATTGTCAGCTACTTGTGGACCCGGGATGAGGGGAGCCCTGCAGCTGGGGTAAGAATTCTTTTTCAAATGACAAGCCTGCAGCACCACAAAAGTCAGTGAGAGGTAGCATTGATGGCTCCCGAGGAAATGTAAAGCTGATCGATGCACCTTTTACCTTTTAGTGATCCTTAAGCATGATGATGTATCACACTGGTTTGATCCTTTGTTTCCTGATACTTATTTTGCTCTGCCATCCAGGAAGTCTTAAATAATTCAGATCATCATCCTGTCCTTCTCCTGTCCAACCTGGTAGAAGGGACCTACACGTTCCACCTCAGAGTAACAGATGCCAAAGGAGAGAGCGATGTGGAAAGGAGCACGGTGGAAGTCAAGCCTGGTGAGCCTGGTGTTTGTGCTGTACCACGTTTCCCTGGGGTGCCCTACTAAGCCCTCTGTCTGGCTACAGTGTACTGAGATTAAAATGTGTAGTCTAGTCCAGCTCAGAACTGTAAAAGGTCAAAAGTTTTGGGGGATGTGATTGTATTTTCATGTGGTTCTTCGGGGCTCACTCTTACTGTTACCCTTCCTACACTGAGATTCTGTAATTTTGTGTTCAAAGATTCTGGAAAGATAATAGAAACCTGACTTGTACCCAGATTATTAAATAGAAGTTCTAAGATCTGTATTATCTACGTTCTCACTAGATCCTAGGAAAAATAACCTTGTGGAGATGATTCTGGACGTTAACGTCAGCCAGCTGACCGAGAGGCAGAAGGGGATGTTCATCCGACAAATAGGTGTCCTGCTGGGGGTCCTCGACTCGGACATCACCGTGCAGAAGATCCAGCCCTACACTGAACAAAGGTAGGGTTTTCTGTGAGAGCACCTCGAGGGGGATTGCTTGAGGGTTTAGTAAACCAAGAGGTACTTACTCTCGGGAAGCAGACTGGACATGTGGAGATGTTGCTTAAAATAGCTATTCCTGGTTGCTTGGGTCAGAGAAGGTGTGTTGCCAAGCAGGTCCTGGGTGCCTTTCCCCTTTGGAGACAGTGTATTGTCCTCAAAAGCTGTTTGCTGCTGCTAATGTCTTTGCTCCCAAATCTGTAAAATAAGAACTAATCTCGTTTGGTTTTGAAAATTGTGAAGACTGTCTGAAGGATGTTCTACAGCTGTGACTCACAATGGGGCAAATAAGGGGCTTGGTAGAGGGGTGGGTTGTTGAAATGCTGAGGCCATGCCAGAGATGGTGATGCAGCAGCCAGCTTTGTAGTGTGCCGTTAGCTTTACCTAAAATGAAATGTTGAAAACCAATGTAATTTTTGTTTGAAGAGGTAAGGAAAACTTGGGTTTGATTGCTGTTCAGCTTACGATAAACTACAGCTGGTCTCTTCTAAACAAGAGGAGGTTTGCTTATGGCCAGGGCTGAGGGCCAGGGTGGCCTTGGCTGCCTGGACAGTGTTGCTCAGCCACAAAGTCATACAAGGGATGGTTTAGCCTGGCTGGATCTTGACCGTCCTGTTTTGGCATGAAAGTACCCAAAAGAGTTTGCCTTTTCATCTTGGTACAGGGAAATTCACTGTTCTGCAGAAAACTTCAGCACTGGCACTGTGGCATTGTCACGTGTGTCCCTGTACTAACAGCAGCCTGTCCCTACTGCAGGGGTGTTTGGGGATGCCTGAACATGCCTGTGAGGGGCACGGCAACAAGCTCATCAAGGGCAGAGGGGTAATCCTCTAAAATAAGTGTGATATTGCACTTAATTTTTGCTAAAAACGGAGTAGCTTTAAGGTAGATGAAGCAGTGAAAAAGATTTAAGGGACATGCTTAAAGTCACGCCGCAAGTCAGCAATAAATCTGCAGTTCTGCTTTAGGCTTTCCTGAGTTCAGGAACGTATCGATTCCTTCGTGTCCACGTTCCCTGCTGTAGCAGTAAAATCAGAATTCATCGTCCGTGCAAAGCTAAAGAGCTCAGCCAGCACTTTGCTGTAATCCTGCCTTTCTGTCTCCGCCGCCGTCAGGCCGGTTGCCATTGTTCTTCACCCAGTAAGGCAAGGAAGGGATTCTTGTAATTAATGCTTCATCTGTTTATATGTGTATTAAGAAGACGGAAGAGCGGGAAGTGTTATAAAAGAGCAGAGATTATTTTCCTGACAGATGGCTTTAAGATCCCATTTTTGCCTCAACTGTCAAAGTAACTTGTACTGTTTAAAAATGATCTTTTTCCCCCAGCTGCTGTTTTTTTCACATACTCTGAGGGCTTCACTAATATCCTTTTGACTCATGGGCTCACTGGTACTAATAAATCTGAAGGAAGTATCCATGCATCCTTCTGTGAATCTGAAAGATACATAGGGCTCTGCAGGGGTAGTGAGCCTGGGGGAGCAAGTTCTTCTGTCATAAAGCTAATGTAATAAAAGATGCAGAATCCTCTACACCTGTGCTTTTTTCTGCCTGTAAGACATTTGCATTCAAACTAAGCTTTGCAAAAGGCTGTAACCCTTCACTGTCTTCTCTGATGCTGGAGCTCTGTTAAATGAGCCCCCAGGTTCCCCGTGTAGTAAGGTCTAAGGATCCCACAGTGAGGGAAGGAGGAGATTATGGAAATGGCAGGACCTTAAAGTTTTGGGGAATTTCATACTTAGCACAAACATGCAAAGATGTACTTGATGGTGTTTGTAACTAGCCTTGACAAAACCATTAGCAAACTCAAGAAGAGTCCAGCCCTAGCATTGCAGATATGTCAGATCAGATGTCCCAAAGGGTTTTCTGCTGTGTGCCTGGGTCTAATGTTATTGCTTCCAAGACGGAGACAGAAGTCTGGCCTTCAAATAAATCTGGGATTCTGAATAAGTCCGTCTAATGACAAAGTGGGGAGAATGGCTCTCTGCCCAATGTTTGGAGAAGCAGCAGATAATCGTTTTTGTCTGACTTCCAGCACGAAGATGGTGTTTTTTGTACAGAACCAGCCTCCCCATCAGATATTCAAAGGACGAGAGGTAGCCTGGACGCTAAAAAATGAGCTACGGAAACAGCAGTCGGATTTCCTCATCTTCCGGGCCCTAGAAATCAACACAGTCAGTAAGTAAGAGTCACTGGGGTACAAGGTAACATCTTTTCCCTTCTTCTCAGGTGCCTGCAAGAATAATGAATAATGACCTTTGTGTGTGCTGCAAACACCTGCCTGGGCACAGACATAACACTCCCTCCAGTAGCTTTCATGTGTTAGGAAGTGGGAAACAGAAAAATAAGTCTGTTGGACTATGTTAGTCAGTTATTTCCCAATTGATTCTGTCTGTTCACTATTCAACTTCATATAAACAAATGGTTCCTTGTGATGTTGCTGGGAAGATAAGAATTCACAAAATCAAAAGCAGATTGATACTTATGAAACTAAAATACAGTGATAATGGAAGACAGCCAATGAAACGAGTGTCAGAATGAAAACACTAAAACCACAGATCTTGTAGCTGTGAACACACTGATTTCCTCTCCAGCACATACATCATTCTGAAGGAAATGTTTCTGTTTGGTTTTTTACAAGTTTACACTACTGCTGTCTTTTTTTTTGTTTATGAGATCCCTCCTATGAGGATCACGTGCAGTTAGATATATTAAATTAGAATTACATAAAGTAATTATTTTCATGACTTCCTGATGTTACGGTTTTGTGGCCTTCAAAAGCCACTCTTCAGTTCTGCTTGGTCCCTTTAAAAGATCTATATGTCTCTTGTCTGTCTCATGGGCTGGGTCTGAGTTTGAAAATCAAACTCTTATTTTAAAACATTTACTTAATAAGTACACAAGTTCCTTAACTTGATTTGTTAGGCAAAATTTTCTTTGTGTGTTAATGTGTGTTCAGTTGTTAGTGAAGCAGGAAGTTTTGCTTTGGTGTGAGGCCTTGGTGCTTACGTTTGCACTTCTTATGGCTCAGCCAAGAGGATGAGCTCCAGGGTGAGGAGACTCAAGTCAGAGCTGGGGGAGGGTTGGTGGTATTGATCTTTTCTGTCCCATTTTTGCCTTGTATGCTCGTCCCTTAGTTGACCTTGTTGGTTGTGGTCCCTAGCGTGTCAGCTGAACTGCTCGGAGCACGGGCGCTGTGACTCCTTCACCAAGCGCTGCGTCTGTGACCCCTTCTGGATGGAGAACTTCATCAGGGTGCAGATGGGGGACGGCGAAAGCAACTGTGGTACGTGCAGCCCCCTAGGATTGTTCACAGAATCGTAGCGGTTGGAAGGGACCTCAGAGATCGAGTCCAACCAACACACAAAAGAAAAAACAAGATCGAGTCCAACCAACACACAAAAAAAACCCCACCAAACCAAAAAAAAAACCCCACACACAAAAAACACAAACCACCACCCACCACCTAAACACACAACAACAACCACCAAACCAAAAACCATCACCCACCCACACAGCACCCCACCACAAACCAGTAATCTTGGGCACTAGAGCATGCCCTGAAGAACCATGTCTACACGTTTCTTAAATACCTCCAGGGATGGTGACTCCACCACCTCCCTGGGCAGCCCATTCCAATGCTGGATAACCCTTTCAGTAAAGAAATGTTTCCTAATATCCAACCTGAACTTCCCCTGGCGCAACTTGAAGCCATTACCCCTTGTCCCATCATCTGTAACTTGGAAGAAGAGACCGACCCCCGTCTCTCTACAGCCTCCTTTCAGGTACTTGTACAGAGTGATAAGGTCTCCCCTCAGTCTCCTCTTCCCCAGACTGAACACCCCCAGCTCCCTCAGCCTCTCCTCGTACGGAGAGTTCACCTCGTAAGTTGTGTTCACCTTGGGAAAGCAAACCATGTTTGAAACCCAGGGCAGTGACACTTTCCCCTGGTGTCTCTGATGTGGTGCTCACACAAGGAGACAGGCCCTACCCTGGTCTCACCACACGCTCCTCCTAGGCAGGAGGTACTTGGTAGGAAGTGCCTCCTCTTCAGAGGCTCCTGGTGAACACTCACTAAGAGTCGAGTCCATTCTTAGTGTATAAATCACAGCTCTTCCGTCGTGCCCCTGCAGAGACTTTCCGGCCACAGGAAAGCAAATTATATAAATCAATACACATTGAAAAATGCCCTTGTGAGCGAGTCCACACGCTGGATCTCAAGCCTCTGACTTCTGTAGGTGTTAGTGGTCAGAATTAGCCTCTCATTCTGCAAAGGGTCGGGCCTTCCTTTTCCTTGCCCAAGAACAGTCATGTGAAGCCCACGCTGTCAACTGTATGAGGTGCCAAAATGTCTTTCTCTCTGGGGTGTTTTGCTTTCAGAGTGGAGTGTGCTGTACGTCATCATTGCGTCTTTCGTCATCGTGGTTGCCTTTGGGATCTTCTCCTGGATGGTGATCTGCTGTTGCAAGAGGTGGGACTGAGGCTGTAACCCTCACTGTATCGGTGCTTCAGAGCCGAGTAGCTGCAGCAGGAGGTGAAAGATTCAAAGCCATCGTCCCAGCAGGTCTCCTTAGCCCTGGGATGTTGGGTTTTGTCACTCAATCTTTCATGTGAAACGTTGAAGTCCTAGAGCTCTGAGTTCAGTTAAGAAGTGAGACTTGGATTAGCCTATAAACGTGCAACTCAAGCAACGTCTTAAACGTTTTGCTTTGTGATATGAGCATAATCTGAAATAAGCAAGTACTCTGGCTTTGAAGATCAGAGTTGGTTTTTTTTTCTTCCGGCTTTTTTAGAAGTGGCCTGCCTCTTAATTCCCTTTCTTCCCCTTTAGACGAAAAGGAAAATCCAAAAGAAAAAGCAAATACAAGATTTTGGATGCAACAGATCAAGAAAGCCTGGAGTTGAAGCCAAATTCAAAAGCGGGTAAGACATGAGAGGGAAGAGCTCAACATTTCCAGAATGCTGACTAGGAGCACTCTTCCTCAGTGGACTTAAAATCACAGAGTGAAACAAACGTGATGTTAGGCACTGACAGGCAAGTCTCAGAAGATCCAAGAGCTTGTTTCAGCTCTGTAGCATTTAGTCAAATTATCTAACCCTTTGGTTTAGAAATTGGGGCTGAGACTGGCCTGGTCCTGATGTCTCCACTTCCTATCACAGGAGTAGAAGTGGGTGTGTTTAAGTTGTGCAAACACCAGCCTGGTCCAGGAAGCTCAAACCTGGCTCTTGACTATAACTTCTTTTGCTTGGAAGTTTTCCACTCTGTTCAGGTAGTTTCCTTCTTGCCAAAACGCAATTCCTTGGCCTTGCTCTACAGCAGAGCATGGGTTCAGTGTCACTAAGCTGGGTGACAGCTTAGTGACACCAGCACCCTGAAAATACTCATGGCCCAGGGAGAGCCATGCTTATCTCTGCCCCCTTATTCTCCCACCCCAAATGACTTGTTCATGAATTTATTCATTCTTGTCCTTGTGAGCATCAGTCAGGCTCTGAAAGTTTCACATTTTAGCTCATCCTCTGATTTTTCCAGGAAGCAGATGCTTATTTTAGGGGGGAGACCCATGAAGCCCTCAGCGCTCCGTGTGGCCACAGCCCCATCGGGCCATTCCAGAGAGGCACTGGTTTGTCTCCAGTGTTCTTAGCCAGCATTTTCCTCCCCGCACGGCTCTCCTGGAGAGTGCTTACCAGGTGCTTTGCAAAGATCACTGAGTTATTTCAGGCTGGAGCATTTTTGCTGTGATCATGTCTGATACCTGAAACGAGCCGTGGTCACCCGCCGAGTGACCGGGGAGGGATGTGCACACACAGCCCCCCCCCAAATGCTGGGGAGCGCTTCAGCTGCAGAAATACACATTTCAAATAAGAGTGTGCATCCTGGTTTTGTTCAGAGGAGGGGTTATTTTAACTGTATGTGGAAAATAGTCCCTCATCCTTGTTCGCCGGTGGAAAAATAACTGTTCACCCCGGTGTTACCCCATTTTAACACTGTTCCAGCAACGTGAGCGGTGCCCGATGCAGCCCCAGAGCTGATCAGACAACTCCTCTGACAGCCCTGCCATCCCAACTGCACAAATACACATACCCTTGAAGAAAACCCTGGTGTTTCTCCCTCCCTCAGCACCCAACTCGGCTTTAATCTGACCATCTGTCACCGCACGCGGAAGAGCCCCGCTCTTAAATAAAGGGCTGGTTGTTCTGCAGGCTGTAGCAAATGTGCCTCCACCGTTTGCTCTCTGGTAACTAAACTCATCTTTGCCTCTTCTGAGGCTGGCTTGCTGACTAAAGTCTTTTTCCCTGTTAGATATGTCCAGGGAGCATTCTGCTAACAGAGAAAGTGTTGCATTTCTCCATTAAGGAAAAGCTAAATTTAAATATTTCCTCTGCTGACAATATCAGTAAATGTCTCTCTCCTGTCCTTGTGCATTAATCTAAATTCAGCCTGCTAATTTATCTCTCTTCCCTTGCAGGCGAGAGAAGCAGAGATGAGAGTAGGGAGGGTAGTAAGAAGGCAGTGATTTTCCTTCTCACACCTGCATATTCTCTTTACTGTGGCCGTTAGCCCTCAGAGAGCTTTCTAGGCAATGCCCCGAGCAAGGTCGGGGAGACAAAGCTCCCCTGTATGCTCACAGCCCCTTCTGGTAACGTCATTTGCTTTCTTACCTATTTGTTGTGCTTTGCACTATCTCCCAGTGTCTGTGTGACCTCTGTCATGCCAAAAGTGTCTGAAACTGGATCACTTTGGGTTCTGCATTTGAGGAAATGAGGGATAGACAAAGGCAAGTCTGATTAGGCTGCCCCTTTGATGTGATAGAAGAAGACGTAAAGGGGGAATGGAATAAGGTGAGGTTGTTGCCCAATATTAAAAATGTTTTTAACCTGGGAATCTCTCTCCTTCCAAGGTGGCAGACAGAAAGCCCAGGTCCTCAACACTAGCCTGATGCACTCCGAGTCTGAGCTGGACAGCGATGAAGCCATCTTCACCTGGCCTGACCGGGAGAAAGGGAAGCTGCTCCGTAGCCAGAACGGCTCCTTGCGCAACGGACAAGTGATGCTCAAAGCCAAGACCCAGAGGGAGGAAATCCTATAGCTCCCCTCGGGAGGCCTTTGGCTGGAGCTCAGTGGGAAAGGCCGTCCCCGTCCCCATCCTACAAGGGCCTTGGGAGGCCAGTTTGATTGGGAGCAACGCTGCTAACTCGTTTCACAGAAAATAACTTTGTTGGGTTTCTTTTCGTTCAGTTAAAACTGGTTGTACTTGAATTTGAACTTGAAGGGAAATCAAAGGGAGGAGGAGGCGACTGTGAACCCCAGGCAGAGCGTCAAGGAAGGGCAGAGCTGGCATCTGGAGAGCAGCAGGACAGGACAGAACCACTTGGAGCAGCTGTGAACGTGCAGGACCCTCCTCACCCACCTCAGGCTGCAGGGAGGAATCGCCCACAGACTCCCAGCTCACCTGCCTTGGGAGCTCCTTGGAGGAGGAAGGTCAAGGCCGTGCTTTGAGCCATGCTCTGAGCTCCCTTCAGGCTCCAGTAGCCACCACGGGCTACTTGTGCTGTCAAACAGTTTTCCTCTCTTTCCCTCCCACCTTCCCTAATGGTTTAAGCACTATTTTAATTTAGAGTTGTCCTTCCTTTCACATACACTGGGAGTGTAGAGGAGGGGGAATCTCAACACTGTGGTCACCCTCCGTCAGCTTGCGGGTAGGAGAGGGTTTAGTAGCTGTTCTAAACTACTGTCAGGCTTTTCTGGCTGGGAGTGTTGGTGAGATGGTGCCTGTTTGGCTGTGGAAAGCTGCCCTGTCTGTGGTGATGGGCTCTCCCCCTGGGTACCAGGGCTGGGAGGGGGCTCCCACCTTCACTCCCTGATGACTGGCTTAACTCCAAAGCTGTGAGATGTTCAGTGGCCCCAGCACCTTCTGTTGGTTGCCAAGCCGTCCATGAGCCTGGACATTAACCATATCTCAGTTATGAAACACCATATACTATGGGGTTTGGGTTTGGTTTGGGTTTGGTTTTTTGTTGGTTTTTTTTTTTTTCCTTAAAATTTGCACAAGCCAGGCAAAGAGGGGTTGACACCTCTGGTTCCCAGCAGCAGGCTGCTCCCTCTGGCTGGAGCTTGGTGTCCTTCACTCGTGGAAAAGGGAACTCTTGGGACCTGAGGGCATCATGTGGTGAGTGCCAGCAGGCAGTGGTGAGTGCCAGCAGCCCGTGGCCGTGTGGCTCTGGGTGACAGGCGTGTGGTGGCCCCTTATACCCATCCTTTGTCTCACTGTGCTGCTTTCATGAGTTGCACCCCTGTCCTCGGGCAGACACCGGCCTCTTGCTGGCATGAAGGATGCTGCTGCTCCTCTGTGGATGGGTGGGCAGTTTATTGCCTTTCTTTGTGTTTAATTTAAAAACTGGAAACTCGTTTCATTGGCTCTTTCTTCTTTTTTTTTTTTTTTTTTTTTTGTTTTTTGACTTTATAATCCAAAAGAGGTTAAACTCCCGGGTTTT